CACTGCTTGATATATGTTTATGGCGTCTTAGCTGTAGCCTGGTCATTTGCTGCACATAATTTGGGGTCAGTATGTGTGGATGTTCCCAACAGTGTGTGCATGAGATTTATCTTTAATCTTTGTGTGTATTATTAGGTCAAAAAGAAAGAAAATGGAAACTAACACGACCAATGACAGAAAAGAAGAAAAGGTTAGAAAACAAAAGCTCTTGGATCCAGCAGGGTGGGAGCAGCAGCTGGACGGGCAACACTCAGATCAAGCAACACTTTTGTTTCCATCAGCACCGCCTGAAATTCCAGAAAGTCAAACAGGTTTAAGTAAGACACATCCACACCCCTTGCACTCAGAACCAGTCAGAGTGGCCTAATCCTGGGGCAAAGTAAACAGGGTGTGACCTGTGATTGCTCTAGTATGAATGAAATCTTTTCTTATTGAATGTGAAGTTATAATTTTTGAAGAAACTACATTTCTCAAAATCTAAAGTCATTTCTTTCCACCACAAACTCAGAAAACAATTATCTCAGTTTCAAAAATTAGAAAATCAAGGCAAACCCTAAATACATTTGGCAAGTTTGCACAGGTACAGGTGGAAAACAAATTGCAAAAACAAGCAAAAAAGGTGGAGCAAGGAAAGGAAAAGAGCCCAGTCAAGTTCCAACAAGCACAGCAGGAATAATCTCAGTTAAAAAAAACCATCTATAGCAATGAACCAACCAGTTTATGTCAGTAAATGCAGGGAAATTATGCTTCCGCTTAAGTACGCCTCCAAGAACCAGTTTTAAACCACCTTTTAGACTACGTCAGCATATTTGAGACTCTTTAAAGCTGCAGAAAGAGAGAGACTTAGTCATGATTAAACAATGCAGGTAGATAAATTGTATTCCAGCTCTTAAGTAGCTTCTGGAACATAAGGCGAAAACACTACCCCGGCCTAATGTGACCTAAGGTGACATCGCTGATTATGGAGTTTGTTTGTTTGTTTGTTTGTTTTATTTCTTGTTAGTAAAACTTTGTTATTTTAAGATATTCTATCAGCTATTGATAAATTAAATCTCATACTAATTCTCTGATTATCAAACCAATGTCAGGGGTTGCTGAGTGGATGTGGAGAAAAGGACTCAAACGCAGGACTCACGGTGAAGATTCAGGGTGTTTATTGTGAGGGACGAATGACGAAAACAGGAGATGGCTGACTGACTGAATAACTGAATGAACGGCTGACTGATCTGAACTTGGAAGGCAAACATGGGTCATAGACAGCAGTGACAACATCAATGACGCGACGCCGACCAGGAGAGAGCTGAGGACTTAAATACACTGGCTGAACAATGACTGATAGGTGACAGGTGAGTGAGCAGCTGAACACAATTGAACTAATGATGCATGGAATAAGAACTAGAACATAATGCACACAGAGTAACGTAACACAAAACAGGAAGTGGAACGTACAGAGGATAAACAGTGAACATGAACTGAAAATACTGGGTCAACGACCCAGAAACCCTGACAACCAATTCTTTAGGGACCCCATAAAGGAACTTTGGATCCTGAATTAGGGAAGAGTTTTGAATTCCAGAATACCAAATCTGAGTTCTTTATCTTTCAACCACAAGAAAATATAAAAATTTGTATGTCACCAGAATTTTAAACTCTATATTGAAGACTTAGGACATGAAAACAATGGGAAGACCACTTAAAAAAACAGAGAAGTTCAGCTTTCTAGGGAAAACGGCACTAAAGTCCCTTTAACATTGAAAACATGCGCTGGGTAAATCTCTGCCCTACAGGATTAAGTATTTTCTACAAAATTTGTAAAAATGTCTTGACAAGAAATGATCCGAAGGGTTTTTTTGAGTCTGTACCGATGCTTCTGTGTCTGGATTTAAGCTTAATGATTGCTTACACAGTCAACCACCAGTTTATAAGGCACGGCGAGGAAAGACTAACACACTCTGATACAGTTTGAATTCATTTCCCAAAAATATCTTATGAGGACTGTAAAAACTTTGATATTTGTAATAAAAATTGTTAAATGGAAAAAAGCGATATTGTGTTATACTGATGGACGGTTCTGTTTATTGATGTCAATAGGGTGGACAAAATAATGGAAACATCTTTCAGTATAATGCAATACAATACAAGATAAAGCTGAATCTAAACCTCTATAAAACCAATCTTTCATTTTAAACCATTTTAAACCTTCAATCACTTTTTGTTGTACTGATTTTATTTACTGATTTATTGTAGGACTGTTGTATCATAATACCAAGGATTATTAATTAATTTTAATTTTAAAGGTTAGTGGCAAGGTTTGCAGAGAGACACCTTTAGAAACTGGCTGAATAAATAAATATGCCTAAATCTTCATCATATTGAAGTATTCTTCTAAAGGCAAATATGAGACAATCTGAGAGCCTAAATTAACATATATATGTACTTACTGGAGACCTAAATACCTCACATATGAAGTATTTAGAAATTCTACTGCAGGGTCAGCACCTAACTCAGAGGTTATTGTGCCTTGGCGCACACTTGGTGCCAGGTGGCTTGCTGTCCTGTGCGTCATTTTGAAAATTCCTCACAGCAGATACAGTAAGAGCTGGTGAAGTGGCAAAATGGCATTTTGAGATATCGTACTGATGTTGTAAACGTCTGAAATGTCAAGCAGCAGATTAAATGTAAAAAGTTGTGTAATTTGAATGTAAATTTGAAACTGCTTTTAATGCAGATGTAAAACTGCTAATGCCAAACTTAAAAAAAATACATTTTATTTTAACTCCTTTAAATTTTGCTCACATGGTGGTATTGCTTTCTAATTTACTAGATTCTGTGTGCGTGTATGTGTATGTGTGTGTGTGTGTGTGTGTGTGTGTACAGAAATTCTGTTTCTGATCACTTTCATATATAGCTACTAAATGTAAAATTGTGCAGTGTGTGTAAGAATGACTTCATGCACATGAATGTCAATGCCTTCAAAAACGTGAGCGTCAATAGTTGTCCGTGTGTGTGTAGGAAATTGCGTTTGTCTAAATGTCTTTCTGAGCACCTACGTAGATATATTCCAAGTGTGTGCAACATAATACACATTAACCCACTCATTCCCACAGAGCTGGACATGAAAAAGTAACACTTCTAATAAAATTGTTAATGTAGAATTGCAGGAAGGTACCTAGACATA